GTTCAGAGCCGAGCGACGATTGGGCTCGGATGCCGAGTCCGAACAACGAGACTATTGATTCTAGGGTCTGCAGGCACTCGATTTTAAGGAAGTAGGCGTTCATAGGTTATATCAATTTTTTTACTGCAACTGTCGTAATTTCAAGTTCTCTTTGCCTAACCAAACTCCCCATTTTCTTTGGCCAGAAAAGAAGTTTAAGAATTCACACAAAACGTCTGGGTCCCACAATTTCACTTACGTTAGATAGTAGACTTTACGACACCTTAAAGGAGAAAGAACGCTTGGGGGACAAATCATTTTTCGTCCTAATCGAACCCGGTACGATCCTTTCCCAAAGATTCGTCATAATAGGTGGTTTACACCCGGTCTCTAAAATCCTTAGTGTCACACGTCAAAGGTGGAAGTGATTGCGGTTATTGTCCGAGGACGGACGAGTCTAATTAGTCTTCCTCCATGCCGTCTGGTTTACACACGTTGGGACTTAAAACTGTCTTATTGGTGACACTGAAGATCTTACACACTCATTATAAGCACAAAAAATCTGGAAGAGGACAAAGTCACCACATGCAAAAAAAAAAAGACACATTATTTTTCGAGAGCATCAGCCCGCCCACTAGACTGCTCTTAACACTAAAATTTACGAGTGTTTGCGACCCGATTGTCCATCGACAGTCCCGTTCTTTCTCGCCTCGTGTCATTCAAACTGACTTTTGCGAATATTTTTTTTGACTTCGACTTGACTGGACGAATCCCAATCTTCGAAACTAAATTTGGGTGTATGGATTGCCTCCCCGAAATAACCTCATCGCACAGTTGACATATTCGCCAACTTGAGGGTATTGAAATACCGATTATGTAATCCTCAAATTACACTTGGGGGGGGACCGACCTTTTGGATAACACTGTGACTTTTATGTTTTGTCGTTGAGGTCCTCCCTCGGTCAGATTGCTTAAAAGGAAAAACTCCCCGGGTGGTCGACCCGTCTTCTCAATTGATTATTTCCCCTCGGCACGCGGGCTCGTTCACATACTTGAGCCGGTTAGGTCGCACAGCGTAAAATCCCGTGTGTGGACGCGCCCTCCGCGCATGTTCTGTCCGTGCTTCTGGGTAGAATCTTCGACAACTCAGAAGATTCTCGACTCGTTTCTGTTAATCTCAGGACACCGCTCAGTGGCTCCTCCGGCGTTTTCTCATCGCCGTTTAGAAGGATGAAACTAATCGATTCATACGAATCATAAAATAAAATAAACAAAAATCCGGCGGAGTACCATATCGTAGTGACACATAAAGAGGTAAGGACAAATACCACCAGAGGCGGGTTGTGTCAGTAGTGGGACCGCGCGCGCACATAGGGGATTTAGCCGATATCCTGCGTCCCGGGGACGAGAGCAGATACGCGCGGTGTACGAGCCGTGACTCTGTAGGTTCTGTAGGCAAGTCCCCCGGGACACTTTGACGGTCAGTCCGACAAGGTAGCGTTCCGACTCGAAGTAAAGGACGATGGCGACCAGGGACGTCGAGACCTAACAGGAGACGCGAGAGTGACTCTGGACCTAATGAGGGTAGGTTGTGTAGGGTGTGGCGCTCGTCGGAGGGCGTCCGTATAAGGAAGGACGCGTGTACGTGGGTCTGGGGAAGGACGCTCTCTCCACCCGTTGACTCAGGACCGGACCCGAGGAGGGGTTTAAAATTAAGACAGGAACAGGGGCGGCGAGACTGGTTTGCCGGCTGTCCGCAGCGTGCGTAGAGACGAACAGGATCCGGACTCGGGTGAGGAGAGTTCCACCTGACAGACGGAGTGCGTGGGGGAGTTCGAGGTCTGGAACTGTGTCTCGACTTGACCGAAAAGCGAAGCGGCCTTTCTCTAAGCAGGGTGAGAACGCTGGCGATTTGTTTACGTTGAGCGTGGAACACATGAAACTACTTTATTCAGTGTTTTTACCTTTAATCACCGGGTCCGTTTGCTTTGGAGATTTGATTGTGATTGGTGGTTTGCTGTACATGCAGAGCCTGCATGTCACATTACATTACATTACATGTTACTTGTTAGACGCTTTTATCCAAAGCGACTTACATACTCAATACTGTGGGCAATCCCCACAGGAGCAATTTGGGGTGAAGTGTCTTGCTCAGGGACACAACGACATGCTGACTGCAGTGGGGTTTGAACCTGTGCTCCCTTGATCCGAACACCAACGCTCTATCCACTGCGCCACATGCCTGTCACTCACTCAAGTACCCCTGGCATGATAGCCGCGCAAGTTTTCCTTTTGTAGCAAGCAGCAAAATAATTGTAACATGACGTGTTTGAGTTAATTTGCCTACTTAATATCGCAAAAAACATTTTTTTTTTAATCGCACGTCCACGCGATGTGAATATCGCGCATGCGCATATCGCGATTATCGTCACGACACGATATATCGTGCAGCCCTACTAAGAATCTTACTTCCAGATGTGTTGGTGGTGTGTGTCAATGTGGTTACACTTGCAGTGTTTAGGTTTAGCTTGTTTATGTAATCTAAAAGCATTACATTTAATGGGCTTTTGGCCACCTGTGTATTGCATATAGTTATACATAGATAGATACAAGAAGACATACACACACACAGTTAAACCTTGTGACTTCCAAATAGCTGCACGGTATCGCACCAGCATGCAGGGGCCCCTGGTACTGTGACATTCAGGGCATCAGAAGATGAAGGAGGAGCCCCCGCAGTGTAACCACGTCCTTCCAGGAAGTCCAAGGTCTGCGCCCTGGGCAAACGACCACTGAGAAGGACAAAGAGAGAGTCTCAGCTAACCACTCTGTAATATGAAAAGACAACTGCGGAGAGAGAAGATTCTCCACCTGCCGTTAATTCCTGTGATCTCTCCGGTTTCTCCGTTGTAGAACAAGCAGAAGGCGTCTCCACCAGGTCCGGTGCTGCATGGCTCTGTTACCGCCAGTGCTGCTGCTATGGCAACCGCAGCATCCGCTGCATTGCCACCGCGCTTAAGGATGTCTGGACACAAACACATAACCTTTGTGTGAATAATGTTACACGATTAGTTATCAGTGCAAACAGTTTGGGTTCTATTTTCAAAGTTTTCAATGCATCCAACTTTGAAACCCTTCATTCCAAAAATGTGTTTGTGAGCTGCACAAATTAAATTGCTCGAATCTAAATTGGTATCTTAAATCTCATAGGCACATGGAAAGATTAAACATCTGAAAAGAGAGAATGAGCCTTTTATATGAACATCTGTGCATCTGAGGAAGCTACAATATGAATATAAAATGTATTGCCTGTGAATGCCGGGCTGTAATTTTAAACCAATCTTTATTACCTTACTATGAGTATTATCAAGAACCATTGGCTGTCTTGAATCTATTTTAAAATCGTGAATAAAACATAGATAAGAGGTTGCATGTATTACTGCATTAATGGTATTGGCTAGAGGTGAAAAGCTTAGAGTTAGACACATCATTGTATTGTCTTGAGCTAAACTGCCAAAACATTCTTCAATTTCAAACTTTTAAAATTAGGATTTGTTGCTATAATCTCTGAATAGAGTTGTTTGAAAAAACAAGCCAATTCAAAATGTCATATTAAGATCAGGGAGATTTGTATGGTTATTTAAATGATTATAAGATATTGCATCAAAAACAGTAGTTATGTGGTCTGGAAGAATGAGAAAATGTCTTGTTCAAAAAGTGTCACAGTGTTTTACTCCAATAATGCACTTTATTAGGGTCTAAAATGTTCTGTTTCTGATCCTCAAGTTTTCCTTCTTAGCACTGGTTGTGCTTTTGTAGCTAGTTTGCTAGCATTGAGTTAGCTCAAAACTCACTGCACTAACTAACTTCTGCCTTTTATGGACTGTGCTTTTGATGGTGCAACTTCATTGTGGAATATCCCAGGCTTTGTTCTCAGTTTTTCGAAGTTATTATTAGATTTTTTAATAACATGCTTGTCATTTTGCCATCAGATATTTTTGAAATCTCCATGGCAACTGTTTTACACTCACCGAGTCCTAAACTGGAGGCTATCGGCTGGCTGGACGCCGCGCAGCCGTGTAAACACACCACAGGAGACCGACGAGAGCAGAAAGACAAGTCGGTATCCATCGCGCTTTAAAAAACAGCAACTGTTGAAAACAACAAGGCACAATTACTGAACAAAATTAAACCGCATCGAACTTTCGGCTTTTGATCTGTTAATCGGGCATCCATTGAGTCTGTCTCAACTAGGTCGGCAGCAAAGAACGTGATGACAGAATACATCGATTGATGCTGAAGTTTCAGCAGAAAATAATGTGGAACTGTATTTTAGTTTAATTCAAATTTTAAAACCTCAATCTTGCAGCCTGTTCTAGGCTGATATTCCCATTCATCTTCAGGTAAAAAGAAAACACTTCAAGAGGGATCACCCATAGTTCAGAGAACAGGACAAAGTTTGGATAGCAACCATTCGAAACTAACCTCTTGCCTACTCATATTTACAAACTGTTGTTTAAATTCAGGTTTGTTGAGAGAGTTTTAACAAATATATGTGACATTTTATTTAATTCCAACAGCACAAGGGCAAACCATTTGTCTGAGATTTGTATTATTTTATAACATCAACACCCCGCTTTTCTTCTTTTTAACTTAAAAATGAAAGTACAAATCATAATCGTCAGTGCAAGCAGAGGCAGGATTCGTTTAAAACCAATTTAGTTCAAATGTTCACAGATTAATGACTCATTTTGGTGCATGTGTTTGTCTTTTTCACAGCACTAAGAGCAAATGTAAATAAAAAACATTCAAAATCAATGATTTTATGATGTTTGTCTATTTAATCAATGTTAACTCAAGTCTACAGATGATAACTATGTGACCAATTTGCTTAGCCAAACTAAGTATATCTGTGATTAAAAGTGATAACTAGAAAGGTGGTGCAGTTTTGAAGTTGTATTGTGATAAATGCAGAACATTGTTTCAACATATATGTTTCACACATCTGACTCACATCTGTCGACCTGTAACATTGTGAAACATTATGAGTAATTATCTAGAGTTGATAAAAGGAGCGTCCTAAACTCTGAAGTCTTGTTTTGTTATTCACTAACCTGCGGTAGCTGCAGATCAGCTTTGAGGCCTCTGCTTATCGACCAACTGTCTGTCACTTCATTCTCTGTCTCCATGTAAACAAACACATGGTAGAACATTAACCACTGTGTCTTCGCCAGTGTGTGTGCACACACACACACAGGCGTGTTACCCAGCATTAATGTGTGTGTGTTTGCGTGCATGTGTGTTTGTACAAGTTTGTGTGTGATCCTGCCATATTACAGCTGCTATAAAAGTGAATCAGTGAGGGAAGGGTGGGCTATAAAGGCTCAACCATAGCATCAGCCAAATAGAAACAGGACAGGTCAGGCAGACAAGCTCATTTTTAAATATCAAGTGAAGTGAACAGAGCTTTCAGACGAACCAATTAAGCTTTCGAAGTGTTAGAAAATACTCTTAGAAGGTGTGTGGAAGCTGCAGTTGCTGATAAGTATAGGCCTAATATTCAGCCAGCTGCTGGAGTACTATTATTGAGGACTGGACAAGAGTCTAAAACAAAGCTGCCAGTTTAGGTGGAGTATTGAGATAGTTTAAGTAGTTTTCCCTAGTAGAGGAGGTTGAAGCATCAGAATGTGTTCAGGCAGCTTTTCCAAGTGTCTGGGAATCAGTCTGATGCCTCTGGCGATTGTGTGTGTGCTGTGCAACATCCTGCTCTTCTTCCCTGGGGGGAAACCTGTGGAGAAAGAACACATCACAGAGCAAGTCTGGTACTTTGGAGGCATTTTGGGATCTGGAGTGCTGGTGAGTATCTTTAACGTTACAACACTGAGAGTAAAAGCTGGGGGAATCTGGCATTGTGTAGGAGAGGATGTACACTATGATATCAGCTGCTGCTCTGAAATCTGTATTCTTCCAGAAGTCTGATATGTGTGTGTAGTTTTTGATATTTAATCTATTGCTACTGGAGTGATATGTGAGGCTTCTGTTGACAGTGTCAGTATGTCTGTGTAGTCTCATGAAAATAGATTATAGAGAATATAATTGAAATGTATTTTCGCATCAACTAAAAACTATTTTCATTGCAGTTAAATGTGCCTTGAATAATTGATAATTGTGTATTACATAATGTTTCAGAAAAGAGAAGAAATATGCGCTTTATAATATTTTAGCTCTGAAAGTCGCCAGATTGTTCGTTTTGTCTGTTTAACAGTCAATAACCTCAATATATACATTTAGACATAATACAAGTCAAAAAGAAAGCCATCACATTTAGAATACTGTAATTGAAGAACGGATAACATTTTGTACCTTAGAAAAATTAATTAATCAAAATATTAACAGAAAATCAACACATTGTGTAAGTTTAAAAATAAAGGATGTAGTGATCTCATGTACTGCACTGCTGGTTCACATTAGAAACATTAGAAAATACATGAGAATAGTATTATAGGAATGCTATTAAATAATATATCCATCCATTTAAAGCTGTTTGGAAATGTGAAAGAAAGTGTATTTAAACTTATTCTAAAGGCATATTTTTGTAAACATCTGATAATGCTTCTGATAGTGGGCGCATCATTAATATGTTTAGGAACTAGTTTTACAGTATTTCATATCTCTATGTTTATTGCGGGACAATCAGCAGTTTAATTTCCTCCTGCAGATGGGCATTTTCTAAACATCATCTTTATGTGTGTGTGTGTGTGTGTGGTGTGGTGTGGTGTGGTGTGGTGTGTGTGTGTGTGTGTGTGGTGTGGTGTGGTGTGTGTGTGTGTGTGTGTGTGTGTGTGTGTGTGTGTGTGTGTGTGTGTGTGTGTGTGTGTGTGTGTGTGTGTGTGTGTGTGTGTGTGTGTGTGTGTGTGTGTGTGTGCTGCTGACCAGATGATCTTCCCAGCTCTGGTCTTTCTGGGTTCTGCAAAGACAATGACTTGCTGTGGGTGCTGTTGGCAATGAAAGCTGGCGGGCGGAGTTTGCAGTGAGGAGATGTTTTCAGCTGCCGTTTAACTTCTCACCAATCATTAAGTCTCATCACTAATAAAAACAAACCCAATTGGCCACTAATGCACACACCCTCCATGATTTCTGGATGCCAAAAATGCATGCCCAAAACATGTTAACATCGCCCAAAAAGCATTTAACACACACACATTGAACAAAAATTGATGTAAGGTTAATTGTGATATAATGTCCAGTAGCAGTAACAATAAATTAGTCTAAATGGCGAGTTTTCACCATGACACTTTATATCACAGAGAGCTGGCAATTGTTTTCGGTAGCAGACTGAATCAATTACTTTAAAAATGCGAAAGAGGTGGAAAGGCAGCCAACCCCTACCACACACACACCACACAACACACACAACACACACGCCACACACACACCACAACCTCCAGTAGCCTCTGTTTTGTCCCAATGCTCTGTTGGTGACCCTCACCCAGCCTGTTATCTGCACAGTGAAAGAATAAAAACTCCATTGTAGTAACACGAGTTAGNCTGTCACTTTTTATGCATACTAATGAGACGAAAGCGGGATGAATATTACTACTCTCCACTAAGAGATAGCTAAGATCAGCGCCATATAGATAGAATCTATCTATCTATATGGCGCTGGCTAAGATAAGATAATGTTAACAAGATGCCTGTGTGCTTAGTACCAGGTCGTTATCATACCAGCAATGGGTCTTGCTCGTTCTTTCGCTTCCCATCTGATGAAAGGACCAGGAGTGGCTGGATCAAGTTAGCTACCTAGCTAGTAGCTAGCACGTTGGTTAGCATTACAGCCTTGTCATTTTTATTAGCCTTAATATGAAAAAACATTAAGTAACCCAAAATGTTAAACAGTAAGAGTAGTAGTCATATCTCGTGAACCCTTTGAAGAGTACTGTCACCTGTGTGATCATTCTATAATACACAATTTAAGCACGGGGGAGAAATGCTAACGCTAGCATCGGCGATCGCCGATCTTTTCTATTTCATGCTATCTGCACAAATGGTTGACATTAAAAAGACCAGGCAGTTCAGAGAGAATCAAAGGAAGGCATACAGCTTTGCATGACATTCTTCTGGACGTGTTTCATTGTGGTGATAGTGAGGGTAGTCAATCGTTTTGTTGACAATACAGTAGTGATGGTCATCTTGGTGACGTGTGTTGTTGTGAGAGTCTGCGAGACCAGAGATGTAGTTCATTAAGCGTTTCACACAAACAAATGTGTTACTTCACAGTTTTATGACATTTACTCGGAAGGCTTCAGTAGAAGCTAATGGGAGTCCCAGCAGCTTCTACTGAAGCCAGTCCCCAACTCTGGGGACTTCCGGCCGGGGACTTCGGGTGGCAGTATGCCGTGAAGTGGTTTGCGGCCTGCCAGTAAACCCATAGCAGAAGAAGAAGAAGTGACATCAGCAGCTTCATTTGCGTAATCTTCCCTCAGGGAACTTATTCCGGTGTGAACGCAATCTGTATCCATGGGGGTACTAAGTGCCGGCACTAAGTACAGCAAAGTACTTGGTGTGAAAGCGGCTACTGTTGACTTCAATGTTGAGCAATGTGATAGTGAATGTTTTAAAAATCATAACATTATAAAGGTTTTCATAGCCTATCCACTGATAATGCCTCAAACTAATTTTAATTGCCATCATTACTTGATTATAAAAAGCACAAAACGGCCTTGTTTCACTTTACCCACCACTGTCTTTGTAAACAGAGTAAGTTAAATTGCAGTCTGAGAAGAATCACAAATCCGCCTCTATTGAAATTACAGCCCTATTCTTAAATTGTAATAAAACATTCTTGAAACAAGCATCACCACAGTGCATTAAAGCTCAACTTGCCATAGGAGTTATATTTTTTTAATGCATGTCTCCTAAAGTTACCCAGAAATCCAGCAAAGTGCTTTAAGTGCATCCTTGGGCCTGGAGGCCTGTTCTGTTTTTTGTTGTTTGTTATGGTTAACTCCAATCTTCCATTGTTTTGGTCTTTCACTTCCAGGCCAATCGAGTTCATGGTAAGTCAAACAAAGATTCAACCGGATTTGACTGTGAGTGGTTTGTATAGCTGACATCCAGGAAATGGTGGCTCTTCAGCCTCACACGCAAACATCCATCTGCACACTTGGACGAACACTTGGGGCTGACATTTCAAATTGTCAGACAGAATGCTGTCAAACTGTGCATTGTCGAGGGACATGACTGTGTGTGACTGCTTTTCAGTGTGTGTGTGTGTAGGTGTGCGTGTGAACTTGCGCATGTGTTTTGGAGGAGTGTGTAAATCTGCGTGTATGTGTTAAGTGGATATAGTGCTTGCTTTCACTTGCCTGGGGCACATTTTATATAAGAAATCTGATTTATGTCTTTATATTTATCTTTTCTACACACACAGGAACACACTCGCACACACAGTACAGACGAGACGGCAAACTGACACGGACAGACTCCTCCCTTTGGCTCCCCCCACCATTACACACACACACACAGACAGATACACACACAAAAGCACACGCATACACACCACCCTCCTCCCCTCCCCTCCAAACACACACTTATCGAATTAAATAAAGTCAGCGTTTTGCGGCCAGTCGTTGCAGGGAAATAAAACACCATGTCATTTAGTGCTGATGGGATAGAGCCTTTATAAATAGTCATTTCCTGCTTGGCTTTAATTAAGTGGCGCTACTGTCAGCTGTCACAGAACACAATTATCAAGCAGACCCATTTAGCAAACTAACCCCTTCGCTGTGTCTCTATCGGTTTATCCCTCTGTCAGTCTGTCACTCTGCTCTGTGTGCTGTCTGCTTTAATGCCCATCTTTCTATCGCCATTATCTCTATTGCAGTGCTTCTCCATGTTTCTGTCTACTTACATTGGTCAGCCTGACTAAGAGTGTTTACCTTCTTTTGTGTCTCTTTATACTCTCCTCTCTAGCAAGCCTTTTCTCTTTTCCTGTTTGCTTTGCTCCTTCTCTCCTGTCTTTCTCATCTAATCTGCTGCATGTTTTCTGCTCTGACAGCTTGTTTCATCTTTTCCCATCTGTACCTGCATCAGCCATGCGCTCCAGATTTTTTAAATGTGTTTTAATTTGTTCAGGCTTACTGGTACTTTTCCCACGCAAAACTCACTATCCTTGCTTGTGTGTGTGTATGTGTGTACATTTGACGTGTGACTTTGCAAGGGGGTGTGTGTTCATGTATGTGTGTGATAACGTTGCAGCTGTGTTTACTTAAAAGGTCTGGTGCAGTTGTGATAGGAGCTACACTCTCTGTCTCCATCTGAACGCTCTGAAGCATGTTATTCCCCTGGTACACAAAGTTAGAGCGAAATAGGGAGGGCAAGGAAGAAGGGAACGAGAGGAACTCAAAGAAGAAAAGTGTGTGTGTGTGTGTGTGTGTGTGTGTGTGCGTGTGTGTGTGCATTTGTGTATGTGTGTGTGATGCTGGGTAAAGAAGACACAGAGGGATAGAGAGTGCAAGGCCACGAGATGGAGATGGAGAGAGAGTGGATCGAGAGAGAAAGAGAGAAGGACACTGCAAGGACAGTGCAGAGGAAAGAGAGGCAAGAAGGAGGAGGGAAATGCACTCAGGGACATACAACAGGGAGCAGCTCACACACACACACACACACACACACACACACACACACACACACACACACACACACACGCACACACACACACACCTCAGTAGCTCTGTGTTGTCAATGCTCTGTTGGTGACCCTCACCCAGCCTGTTATCTGCACAGTGAAAGAATAAAAACTCCATTGTAGTAACACGAGTTAGAAACGAGAACGGTATTGATTGCAAATATGAGTAACTTCTCTTATCTCTTTCCCTCTCTGTGTAGATGCTGAGCTCCATACTGTTTGCAGCTGTCGGTGTTGCAGGGGCTGGTTACTCAGTTATAGTTTCTGCTGTGGCTATTAACGAAGGACCTCAATGTGTGGTTAAATATAACGAAACAGTACCGATTTGGGATACACCCTTCTCAAATGGGTACACAGACACACAGCCAGTATTAAGTATCAAGCTGTTTGACAAGCATTCTTCTTAAAGCAAACTATTCCTTTAACATAACGTTTGTGGGTAATAATGAATCAAAGAAAGTGAACATAATTGTACCATCCAAAGAGAGTTAAAGGGTCAGTTCCAGTGTCAGTCTGATGACAAACTTCTTTCATTCATTATTTCATCAAAGATGCTTACCGTTCCCCCAATGTAGCATTTGATTTCTTACCACACAGCAAAACAAAAACAAAAGCTCCTAAAACCTTTGAAATAAAACTTTTGTCTCTTCTTCACCTTCCCACTCCAGTGACTACCTGTCAAACAACACTATCTGGTTGAAGTGTGTGGAGCCGCCTGGCGTGGTGCCCTGGCATCTCTCCCTGTTCTCCGTGCTGCTGGTCATGGGTTTGATACAGATGGCGCTGTGTGCTGTGCAAGTGGTGAACGGCCTGCTGGCATGTCTGTGTGGGGACTGCTGTGGAGGGGTCAGTATCACATGATGAGTCCAGTCGAGTTAATCTGTGTGAATAAATCAATCATATAAAACATAATTTGACAAGCTTTAATACAAAAAGAGGATTGTATTTGACAGGATTTAAAAAAAACATCCTTTCCTGGGAAAACCCTAATGCATATTCTATCCACTAACTAATCCAATTAATTCCAGATTACCTCTACTTTTGGAATCAAGTCCAATTGTTCATTAACCAGTCAATTATGCAACTGAGTACAGTTTGAGGATTGGGGTTAGTAAACGATGATGGATTACATTATTACATTTCAGTGTAATAAAAATGTTGGTGTTTGTCTTTCAGAGCGATGCCGTCTGAGCCCTGACTACAGCTGTGGCAGTCTGCAGTCGGCTGCTTCTTTTTTTATTATTATTTTGAGAGGATGGCAGTTGTTTCTTGCTTTGTGCCATGAGCTCATTGATTACATTGTGTGTGCACATTATATATGACACCACTGGTGAAATGACATAGCTCTTATTCTAAGGATTATGTATGAAAAGTGATTTGACAATCGGGAGACATTGCTATTACTTTAAATGTTGTTCTTCTTATCTACAGTAGTTAAACTTACAGGGAGCAACATGTTAGAACTAAAGATAGTTCCCACCTTTAGATAAATATGTTTATGTAGCTTGACTGCCCCCTGCTGGGGGTTAAAAGGTCATAGAGACAAATGCATCCGCACTATTGATACAATTATTGTGCACTTCTCACTGACACATTTATTGCTGTACGAATCAAAAGTACTGAAGCAAAGTTACTTTATTTCAAATGTTTCTAATATTTTAAACGTATTGCACACTTTAGGCATGGAAGTAACTGTTATGCGGCTGTTATTTCACTTCTCCTTTGTACAAACTGTAGGCCTTCTCATGAGGCACTCACTTATCTAATCTGATATTAAATCATACTGTTTTTCTGTAAGGCTGACTGATCTGATTTCATTCTACATAAAAGGTGTACTAAATAATATGTTTGTTTTTAGTTTTTTCTAACCTTAGCTAATAATCATTGCATTGTCAAAAATAAAGAAATGGCTGTTAAATGAGATCCATAGACTGAACGTAACTTTGAACCAGTTTGACATTCTCTATATGCTTAACCGTTATAAAACAAGGAAACTTTGTAACTTCTTACCCACAGCTGGAGCTCGCACATTATCCAGACATGGCCTCCCTAATGTTTAAAATATCAATCTATCAACGATGCTGCATCCCTCCGAGTACACATCCTGTTCAAATATACAACATTTGGGTTGTCCTTAATTGCTTATTCCCTTAGAAAATGTACAGTTTATCTTTATGAGAAAGTAGATTTCTATTTTATTGACAACTCTTTGAAATGTTAAATAGCTTTTTTGAAAACTGCTGATTTTTCATACCAGTATTAATATTAAATATAAAAAGCAATAACATGAAATAAAAACAGGAGTATTTTATATTTGTACATTGTAGTAATAATACTTGGCAAAGCAATTTATATATAAAGTTCAGTTTGTTAAGTTGTACAGTGTATTATTGTCTTATAAAGACACCCCCCTTTTTTTACCTAAAGCCTGCAGAAAATCAAATCAAAAATACATATTAAATTGGAAAAATTAAAGAACTAAAATGTTGATACATATACTTTCTTTTTTATGTCTGTAGAGGTGGGGGAGTTATTATGGGGAATTCCATTATGACTTCAGTATAATCCGTGATTGCCCAATGTTTATGAATTCGAACAAGTTCAGAAGTTAATTTATATTTAATTAACACCTACAAAAAATATATAACGCGTCCAGTTCGAAACTAATTATATAATACAGTGCTCTCCTTGTTGTGTCGGAACTGTAGTTCCGGGACGCCTCTTGTGAAACACGGAAGGAATAAGCCGCGTACCAACGTGTTCCACTGGTTCCACTACTACCTTCTGAGTGACCCCAGGAATAAATAACTGTAGATTATGATGCTTTCAATTTAAAACAGAGGTAATTTCATGATCTTTGTTTCGTGAATGTAGCTTAAATTGTTAGCTACGTGCTAAGGCAGGCTCCAGTGGTGTAACGTTAGTGTATCTGAGAGAGGAAGATGAACAGGTTAAGGACAGACTGGTTTCTGAGTAGATCTGTATTTTAGATCATATTCTACATTTGGACAGTTGTTTCCGAAAATGTATTTGGGTAGGGAAACACATGTCGATAGCTGTGATTTCTATATGCCAAATTCAGTCATTAGAGGATTAAATATGTTCTTTTGTATGTACCTTTACTAGAAAACAGTAGACTGCAGCTATACAAAAATACGCTTTGCATCTATCGTATCAACATTCTTATATCAACAATATTTATAATAGTAATAATAGCTATTGACATTTGTGGTCCAATCTAAATACCATAAAAACACAATTTTTGGTAATGCCAATCATAATAAAGTGTGTGATTAAAAAAATAAAATGTAATAGATATAACACATTATCGAAAGCATATCAACAGTGAAACAGAAACAGTGTACATTGTATTCATACTTTAAATTCCATTTGAGTCTTTATTTAGGCTTTGAGTGACTTTGCTGTCTAACCAAATATCTGTTTACTTTTTACATCAGATGCTCTCTGTTATATTTAAAAGAAGCACCTTTGCAGCCAAGCAGGTAAGAAACCATTTATGATTTTCAAAAGCTTGTTTGCTTATGTTTATTTAATTTATCATTATAGGTGAATCATATGTAATCTTAACATAAATGTCTTATCTTTAGGTATTGCATTGGGCAGGTCCTGCACAGAGATGCTGGACATCAGTCCTCCCCGGAGCCTCTGGTGGTGGATCCAGCTCCCTGCAGACCTGCTGGGCCTCAACAGCAAGAGACGACAGAGGAGCCGAATCTTCCTCTGTCCTCAGCTCCAGGAGGATTGAGTTCTTCCAAAGGACCCAGACACATGCAGCTCCATCTATTGTGAGGAACCAGCATTTCCACTCCTCTGCAGTGAGGCTGAAGAAGCGCCCCCAGCTACCAGAACCTCCCAGAGAGCTGGATCTGCTGCGCTATGACATGAAGGACTTGTGGAAGGGTCCCAAACCTGCCTTATACCTTGGGTTTGCAGGGCTTCTCCCCTTTGTCGCGCCCACTCTGCTCATGGCTGTGACTGAGAACTACTATCCAGAGTTGGCTTATGCTCAATTAGCTTACGGCGCCTCCATCCTTTCCTTCGTGGGCGGGGCTCGCTGGGGATTCGCTCTTCCTGAGAGTAGCCCAGCCAAACCTGACTGGATAAATCTGTCCAACAGTGTGGTTCCCTCGCTGTTGGCCTGTGTGTCCATGATGATGAGCGACAGCATTGTTCCTGCAGCCACCATGGTTATCATGGGGCTAGGAATAGCGCTGCATTATGATCTGGCTCTGCTGCCCACTTACCCCAGCTGGTTCAAAGCCCTGCGCGCTGTCCTGACCATCGTGGCATTTTTTTCTTTTCTGGGTACAATTCTAATTAATGGAATATACCCAGAAAAAAAACTATTCTCAGATTAAATATTATGCAAATATAGAAACTATTTGGCCACCATGTTCTGAATTTGGTGGTCATATTTCTCTTCCTTGATATTGGAGTTTTTCTGTCCTAATCTCAGCCCTTCAGATACCACAATTGTGTATTTTATAGATCCTGCTAAACTGGCTTCTGTAAAAGCAGAATATTATCAAGACGTACCCTCTATGTAGACGTTATTGGTTAGTGTACAATGTTTAAAATCATTCAGATTAAATAAATTTTTGCATTTTGAAACTACTACTAAGAGTCGCCCCAAATCAGTAAATGCCACACAATAAAATAACTGAAGAAAATACAATGTTGAAGGTCAATGAACGTTAAATAAATGCACTTTTGTCATCTGAAATATGAAGGTATTTGTACTTTTTGTGCTCCTTATTGCATTTTATAGTCTAAAAAGTGAGAACCAAAACAGACTCCTTAAAATTGTCAATTTTCTGGAACAGGCAAAGATCTTTTTTTATGATAAGAAAAAAGTCACACTTCATTAGAGCAATGCTACAAATCAGCTGAGCTGCTGTTACTGTGTCCTTTTACGTTGCCAGGATCAGACGGCTAAAGTCAAGAGTATTGACATCACTGGGAAAATGCTATTACCAGTTGAGTAATCTGTACTTAAAGCCTCAGGGGTCAGACTCTCAACACCTTGAGTCCATCTGGGTTTACAATACAAGTTATCAGACTTAATATGTTTTGATATCACCACTACGCTTGCCTCAATATGTCGTGCCATAAATATGATTAACATAAAGTGTAATCATTACAATACATTTGATAGAAGACTGACAACAAGTTTAGTTTTTATATTCAAATGTCTTTATTAATGTAAACACCAGTATCTAATGAACCAAATTTGAAAAGAAAGGCAAGGCAAAAATGAAGGGGGGTGGAGGTCCACAGATATCTGAGAAAAAGCACTTAAGGCACATTACATTCCCTCTCAACATTTCCCACAAAATGACATACTAATATCAAACATACGAGCCTGAGAATCATCCTAGTGTACATACAGTATTGCACTTCAAAAGTTTCCCTCAGATTCTTAGTGAAAAAACTCCCCACTCTCACCCTGAAAGTGAAGTGAAATGCGCCAATTTTCAACTACCTTTGATAAAGATAGAAATAAAAGTGTTAACCCAAATGAGCAAGTGTGCCTTTCGGTAACATATTAGGGAAAATGACATAAAAAGGATACAAACTTAAAGTGACAGATACAAAAACATTGCCATTTAAAAAAACAATGAAACAAATTAAATGTCTTCAAAAAACCCAATCTTTAGTTTTTTGATTCTTAATATCCAACGCTATGTGGTCCCCGACACTGACAGTGCACTTAAATCTGTGAGTGCACGCAGGTAAACGCAGGCTGGACAAAGAACATACAGTGGGAAACATTGTAGAAGTCTTATTAATCATGATTAGCCCTGTGTAAGCACTGCAGAAGTTTGTAAACTATGTTTTCTTTTTGAATAGCTTGACAGTTTAGCCAAAGTCCAGCATCAATTAAAAACTTCTACAACGGCTCCACTTGCAGCACTTTGAGACTTTGGTGACCTACAGATAAACATATTCTTAACATGACAAGATTCCCTAATCTGTTCAAATGGACGGGATCTGACATTTAAAAAAAACTATTGCAAATCTTCTTACACTTATAAGGACACACATGACACACGTTACTCTGCTGCCTACTTTTGAATACCTAGGCTAGACTTCATGTGCTCATACACTACGTAGCTGATGCTGACTGCTGGTATGACTTTCATGAAATTAGGCAGGATGCCACGGTAAAGTCCAAAGAAGCCTTCCTTTTGCAGAATCTTCTTTACCATCAGGTTCATGGGCATCTGCTCTGAGCCCTCAAGAGAAGCTGAGGAAATACATAAATGTAAGAAATGTGAAACACCACAAAAAAATAAAAGCTGGATTTTGGTAAAAGAGAGTGTGAAGTGTATGCACCTTCCCATGAAGCACTTATTTGACCTTGAGTGTCCACACAGGTAACGCTGATGTTTTTATTCCATTAACTTTAACATCAGCCACCATAGAACCCATATCGTGTGTGATAAGGTTTGCTGTGCCAAACGCCATTCGTAGAAAGTAAAGAACCGTTGGATTAAGCTGCGATAACTAGTTTGACCACTTGTGGGCAGCAGAAAAAACTAAGTATATCATTGACATACATTTGTATTAACACCTTATAAAGTTGACATGGCAAACCTTTTAGTTAATATTAGACGTCCAATATATATACGAAGCAACATAAGCAAATATTCAGAGTTGTGTTTGTGTCCACTTGATGAATGCAATTCTAATGTTCACTATGCTATGGTTTTTAGCCTCCATTAATTACAGCAAAAGGGACATATCTGGCTTTTTGTTTATTTTAGCTTCATGCTAAGAACTGGAAATTGGCAATATGAAAGTGATTTGAGTAACCCACAACTGTAAAGATGCATGAAGTAAACTTCACATACAAATAGCCATGTAGCTAATTAAAATATATGAATACAGGCTGACATATTTAGTTAATATACCCAATCTTTACTTTAGCTAAAGTAGTGCAGTGCTTTTTCTCTACCAATAAAACAACATGTACTGGTCAAATTATTTATGTATTGTTTTAATCTGTATTGAAAATAATCCAACAACTGTGCGATCATTGAAATCATTTCTGGGTAAGATCACGGGAAGACTTGGTAAATACCAGTAGCTCTAAAGAAACATTTGACAGAATTTTGAATGGGATTCGGTTTTCTTTACCTTGTGCCTGCATCCTGGTGCGGATCAGAGCCAGGGGGTAGCTGGCCAGCTGGCCACACGTGCTGGATAAGGTCCCGCAGCCGAGCAGCACCAGGATGCCGGGGTTGGCTGAATCTTTGGCGTAGTGGGCCAACCAGAAGTTCTTCAAGCTCTGGTGGGAGAAGGAAGTGTTTGTGTTTAAGAAAGGACTATTGTTATTTTCACAAAATCCAAAAAAGGAAAAGTGCTTTTAATGACAGATGATGTTGTAAGAAGAGTTTTGTATCTTCATTTTCCACGAACCTCGTAGACTGCCAGATCAATGCCAGCGTAGGGGATGATACCTATAAGATTGGGAACATAGCCCTTGTAAAAGGCCTTCACTCCTTCCTTCCTCAGGATCTTCTTGGCACAGTCCGACATTCCTGTGTACTGTCCGGTCTTCCTCAGGGTCAGGCGGGTTTTCATGACCTGCAGGGACGAAGATTATCAGTCAAGCCGTGTTTACATGACAACACTGCTACTAACGCTTTGTAGCCGCCAAGGATAACAATAGGAGCGGAAGCTTTCAGTCTGATTGTAGCTGAACAATTTATTAATTAGATTTTGAAACATTATGTTTTTTACAAAAAAGGAAGGAAACTGCATTTTCGTTATTTTCAGGAGAATGAAAAATGCAGGACTTCGAGGGGGAAAATTATGCTCAGAGGACAATTTAGACCTAACAAAATAAATAACTATTATCATCAAAGGGATTCAAAAATAAGTTTTATCTAACTATTAACACTCTGATATGAAACAAAGAGTGAACACAGGTGTTACCTCCATGGGGTAAATGACAGTCTGTGCTGTGGCTCCAGCCAGCGATCCAGCCATGAACCTCTCGTGGGTCTTGACCTTTCCTGGTTCACTGGACAGCATCTTCTTGAACTAATGACGAGTGATGCATGAAAACTCAATGAATACAGATGCTTGTTATTGTCAGAAGTAATACACTTTAGCTGAAATTGCTTCTGAGGGAGTCTTTATACAATGCCACATACACGAATATAAGGATCTTTGACATTCAAAAGTTACATCTACAGCGACATCCTGCCGAAGGTATTGTGTTCAGTTTGTGTTTACCTTCTCATAGGCCATAAACTTAATGGCCGTCTCAGGGGCAATCTTCAGCACGTTGATACCGTTTCCTCTCCACAGAGACGCCACGCCTCCTTCTTTTAACATTTGCTTAAAACCACCAACCAGGCTGATTTTGTTGCTCTTGGTAGAATGCACCTGTACATTACACAACACACATTGCACTGTAGGTCACCACTTTCCAAATTAAGTACATTAACAGTATGTAGTGTTAAAGGTTTTATACTTTAGGCTACATCAAAAACAATTACAAACAGTTAAACCCCCTAAATGAGGGGAATTATGAATTATCACTTTTCTCACTGTTTAGATTTTTTTCAATTTGATCATTATGATAGCTCAGCATATATACACCTATTACAACTGTTGAGTAAATATGGTTTTGTTAAATATATATCAAAATAAGTGTATAAATAAAACATATATTCATTTTACATGACAGAAAAAACGTTTGACCCACCTGCATGAACACCTTCATCCTGTCCAGCGGGGCGGTTCCTGTGCGGGACACGGCTCCAGCCATGGCCCCCGCTGACAGCTGCTTCCACCACATGCCGGTCGTCTTCTCCTCTTCTGTGAACTCATCTGGGATGGAGAGGCCGTCCCCAATGTCCAGCACCTACACACATCATATTCATATCACTGAAATGCTGTTTAAACTGTAAGTTCAGTTACTTAACATTAACAAGGAGCGAGTTAACGCTCACAGATTCATGCCAAAACATGAATGTGTAGCAGAATTAGAATTTAGGGTTTTCCTCAGAGCTTTGTTTTTTGTTTCAAAAGTTATTTCAAACCTACAGTATGAACGTTTACTTCTCAGATTAATCGTAGGTTAATCGCACAGTTTCACCTCACAATTAGCAGCTTGGCTTTGAACTTAATGCCCGGCAGTACTGGCCAAACTGCACGTCCTTATCTGAAGTCTTATATAACTTCAGATCCATGCTGTGAGATCAATGACGTCATTGCATGCCACTTTATAATTGTTGTTTCGGTACAATTAGATTAAAGTGTTTTTTTATATAGGAGAGTAAAATTCCAGCAAAGAACCTGGAAAATATAGCTTTGGTAATATTATAATTTTATGTTTATTTCAGACTTAGTATTTTGAGGAATGCCGCATGATCCGATCGGAAATAGATGAAACCTATTATGTTCCAGTCCCAACAAAAAACTGACATTATAATATGTCTATTTGCATCACAATGGTGCAGGTGATAAAAAAAAATCCCCCCAAAGTGTAGAAAATGAAAATAGCTTACATACAAACTAATGAACTAAGGAAGGATATAAGATAAAGAACCCTAACATTAATTTAGATTTTGTGTAAAAGATTTGTATTGGACAAACCTGAGAGCGCTCCCTAGTGGACAAAGAGCAACATTGAAGCGCCTACACATAATTATCCCAATTTCTCGTAATTAATGGGCCAAATATTTCCGTATCTGTGAGAAGCTAAAACCGTCTGACAATTCCGGAAGAGCTAATCCATAGAAACATTTTTTGACAACCAATGGCTTTCACACTCAAACACAAACCCACCATGTCCACCTCCACCTCATAGATCCCCCCATCATCTTCTAAACTGATGAAAAACCAGTTT